TAAAGATTAAAGATGAAACACCCGAAACTGCATGAGACTCTGGAGGAAACGCAGGATAGCATGGTGAAGCTGAACTGTTGCTCTAGGCATACGGCAACCCGAGAGTGAAAAAGAAAGTGGCCGGTTCACGGATGAAATTAGGACCGTGAGGGAGGGGGTGGGTATAGCGGATGAAAGTAAAGACCGGGGGTTTCCCTCACTATTCTGCTGCCCAAGGCGGCCACCTAGGTCACCTCTATGCACACGCCTTCCCTGAACACACATCGGCCACAACAGGAAAAAAAAAACCAGTAACTGCGTTATTTGCTTAATTTTTTTACACGTTCAATAAGTGTTTGTTTGTTTTTTTGCTTCATCGTTTGTTTGCTTGTTTGTTTGTCTAAGTGTTTGTTTGCTTTTATATGCTTGTTTGTTTGCTTTTATTTGCTTGTTTGTTTGCTTGTTTGTTGGATTATCTTTTTGCCAGATTGTTTGTTTACTTTAGTGTGCTTGCTTGTTTTTTTTTCTTTTTAGATGTTTGTTTGTTTGTTTTTTATTTGTTTTTGGCTTGCTTTATTTGCTTTTGTTTGTTTTTGTTTGCTTGATTGTTTGTTTATTGATAGTTTTTCTGTTTGTTTTTTGTTTATTTGTTTGTTTGTTTGTTTGATTGCCTGTTTGTTTGCTTGTGTGTTTCTTGCTTGATTGTTTTTTGTTTATTTGTTTGTTTGCTTGCTTTTTAGTTCGTTTTTTTTTTGTTTTGTTTTGCTTGTTTGCTTGCTTGTTTATTTGCTTGTTTGTTTGTTTGTTGGATTATCTTTTTGCCAGATTGTTTGTTTGCTTTAGTTTGCTTGCTTGTTTTTTTTAGATGTTTTGTTTGTTTGCTTGTTGTTTGTTTGTTGTTTTTTGTTTGCTTGCTTGTTTGTTTGCTTGTGTATGTCTTGCTTGATTGTTTGTTTGTTTTTTGTTTATTTGTTTGTTTGCTTATTTTCGTTTCTTTGCTTGCTTGTTTTCTGCTTGTTAGTTTGTTTGCTTGTTTTTTGCTTGCTTGTTTATTTGTTTGTTTGTTTGCTTTTAATTGCTTTGTTATTTGTTTGCTTGTTTGTGTGCTTGTTTGTATGTTTGTTTGTTTGTTTGTTTTTTTGCTTGTTTGTTTGCTTACTTTATTGTTTGTTTGCTTGCTTGCATGCTTTTTTGATTGTTTTTACTTGTTTACTTGCTTGGTCGTTGTTGGTTTTTGCTTATTTGTTTGCTTGTTTGTCTGTTTGCTTATTTGTTTTTTGCTTGTGTGTTTGTTTTTTGTTTGTTTACTTGTTTTTTTGCTTGTTTGTTTGTTTGATGTTTGTTTGTTTGTTTGTTTGTTTGTTTGTTTGTTTGTTTGTTTGTTTGTTTGTTTGTTTGTTTGCTTGTTTTGAGTTGTCCCCCATCAGTCAGTGTCCACACACATCTGGCATCTCCCCTAAAACGGTGCTCCTCCGCAGATATACAGCACATCCAGATGATGAAGAGCAGCTCTGGCCCATTTACTGTGTTTACATGATTACACTGACAGCTCCAGCCTCATTCTGCGAGTGGAGGAGCAGATCAAACCCTGTCAGGAATGTATAAATATAACTTGTGTTTTATTCAGCAGATGAGTGAGAGGAATAATTCAGCTCAGGATAAAGGCAGGGATACGTCGAGCGCACATACACCTGACAGTCAGAAGTGGGTTATATTCTGTGGAGATACTGCTGTGATTTGGTGACACATCTGGGACATGCGCGCACAAACACACACCCCGCTCACACAACTTTGTTTGTCAGCCACCTCTATGCCAACAGTGGTGCGGCACAATAAAGACCACCATTAGCAGCTCTATGGGCTGAAGGAGGGCACGCTGTAGGTGTGTGTGTGTGTGTGTGTGTGTGTGTGTGTGTGTGTGTGTGTGTACATGTGTGTACGTGTGTGTACGTGTGTGTGTGTGTGTGTGTGTGTGTGTGTGTGTGTGTGTGTGTGTGTGTGTGTGTTTTATCATAACAACTATGATAAGTCCCCAAAACGAAAGCTGTACAAGTGAGTGTGTGTTCCATTGTTATAGCTATAATTTCCCAAAAATACATCTGTACAAGCGTGTATGTGTTCGTACATGCGTGAGTGAGTGAATGTGTGTATGTTTTCATCTACACATATGCAAATGTGTTTTGAAGTGAGCATGTTGTTGTCGGTGTCCTGCCGATGTGTGTGTGTGTGTGTCCTCCTTCTTTTGTGTGCTGTTGAAGGCTCTCTTTATCCTCCACAGTTATTTAACAGGCCCGCGCTTGTAATATGGAGTACAAAATGAGCCCTTCTTTTCTTTTAAATAAAAAAGCTGAGATGCAGGTCACTGTGTACTTTGACCAGTAAAAGCCATTTCAGTCACTGAAGCTGAAGCCTCTCCATCAGAGGAGTTTAGGGACGCTGAGACTCTTAAACACACAGAGAGACACACAGAAACATTCAAATATAAGTTTGAGCTCACATTCTGTCAGCCACATTTACATGCTGCCTTTGAAGCATTTGTACGACATAAGATTATTTGGAGAAACTTTGATTTTGTTGCTGTTGTTGTTGTTCAAATCCGTAGCAAGCTTTTTTTCTGCAGCAGATTAATTTATACACATCAGACTCAAAGTTCAGTGGGCAATGATTCTGTGTGTGACAAATGTCCTGATGGCCTAAGAAAAGTTTTTTTTTTTTTGCTTGCTTGATTGTTTGTTTATTTGTTTGCTTGCTTATTTATTTTTTGCCTGTTTCTTTATTTTTTATTTGCTTGTTGTTTTTGCTTACTTATTTTTTGCCTGTTTGTTTATTTGTTTGGTTGCCTTTTTGTTTGCTTGTTTATTTATTTTTTCCGTGGTTGTTTATTGTTTTTTTGCTTGTTTGTTTTTGCTTGTTTGTTTGCTTATTTATTTTTTGCCTGTTTCTTAATTTTTTATTTGCTTGTTTGTTTTTGCTTGTTTGTTTGCTTATTTTTGCCTGTTTCTTTATTTATTTGCTTGTTTGTTTTTGTTTGTTTGCTTATTTTTTGCCTCTTTCTTTATTTTTATTTGCTTGTTTGTTTTTGCTTGTTTGCTTATTTTTTGCCTCTTTCTTTATTTTTTATTTGCTTGTTTGTTTTTGCTTGTTTGTTTGTTTGCTTATTTTTTTTTGCCTGTTTGTTTATTTGTCTTTTTGCCTTTTTGTTTGCTTGCTTATTTAACTTTTGCCTGTTTGTTTATTTGTTTGTTTGCCTTTTTGTTGGCTTGCTTATACATTTTTTGCCTGTTTGTTTTTGCTTGTTTGTTTAATTGTTCATTTGCTTATTTATTTTTTGCCTGTTTCTTTATTTTTATTTGCTTGTTTGTTTTTGCTTGTTTGTTTGCTTACTTAAGTTTTTGCCTGTTTGTTTATTGTTTGTTGGCCTTTTGTTTGCTTGCTTATTTATTTTTCCCTGGTTGTTTGTTTATTGTTTGTTTGCTTGCTTGTTTGTTTTTTGCTTGTTTGTTTGTTTATTGATGGTTTGCTTGTTTTTTTTTGTTTGCTTGCTTATTTATTTTTTGTCTGTTTGTTTGCTTGCTTGCTTTTTTGCTTATTAGTTTGCTTTCTTGCTTGTTTTTTTTCCCTTGCTTTCTTGCTTATCTGTTTGTTTTTGTTTGTTTGCTTGTTTGATTTTTTTTTTAGTTTTTTAGGAAAACAACTACAGAAAAACACATACAAAAAAATATGGGCCGTGTAATGATCTTTAAATTCAATTTGCTGGAGCTTTGTTGATACGGTAATGGAGGTAGAGTCTTTCCCTGCAGCATTAGTGAGTCTCTAATAATTTCTGTAGGATATTTATCAAAAGATTTTAGCAAAATAGGTCCACTTTAAAAACTATTTATATGTAGGTGTTTAGATGTAAAAATCTTAATTTGTGACCAATATGACTCTTCTCTGATATGTGCTAATCTGCACTGTGCGTCTGTCAGTAATTATTGTACTTGCAGCTCTGGTGGTTCTGTTGGTCAAGCTGTCACAGCACTATATCCTGCATTATCTTATATATTGAGTGTGTTTCTTGTGCTGTAGTTCCCGGGCCAGTTCCCAAGGAGTTTGTGCGATCAACGCCTTCTGAGGATAAGATCTCTCTGCAGTGGAAAGAGCCTCTGGAGCCCAACGGCATCATAACACAGTATGAGGTAACAGATCCTCTGTGTACATGTGCAAACCTGAACACAGCAGCTATTTAACACATTATATAAAGGTTATTGTTGTAATCAATGTACACTTGAGTAAAAGTATAGATACCTTAATAGAATAATTCTTCAGGACTCCAATTATACTGTCAACAATTATTGGAGATGCATTCTGAACAGATCAGTTGAATCAATGAGTTGTTGATTTAAGAATCAGTCTGAACCATTCTTTTGAATCAGTGAGTTGTTTACTGGAGACTCACTCTGACCAAATTATTTGAATCAGTAAGTTGTTTACTGGAAACTCGCACTGACCAGATCATTTAAATCAGTGAGTTTTTTTTACTAAAGAATCATTTAGCCTGGATCTTTTGAATCAATGTTTTGTTTACTAAAGATTCACACTGAACTGTTCATTTGAGTTGTTTGCTGGATATTCACTGTGAATAAATTTATTGAATCAGTGAGTTATATACTAGACGTTCACTCTAGGTGTATCATTTGAATCAATGATTTTTTTTCTGGAGACTTGCTCTGACCGAATCATTTGAATCACTGAGTTGTTTACTGCAGAATCACTCTGAACAGATCATTTAAATCAGTTAGTTGTTTACTGAAGACTCACTCTAAACATATAATTCGAATCATTTAGTTGTTTACTGGAGAATCACTCTGAACAGATCATTTGAATCAGTGAGTTGTTTGCTGGAGAATCACTCTGAACAGATCATTTGAATCAGTGGGTTGTTTACTGGAGAATCACTCTGAACAGATCATTTGAATCAGTGGGTTGTTTACTGGAGAATCACTCTGAACAGATCATTTGAATCAGTGAGTTGTTTACTGGAGAATCGCTCTGAACAGATCATTTAAATCAGTGAGTTGTTTACTGGAGAATCACTCTGAACAGATCATTTGAATCAGTGAGTTGTTTATTGGAGAATCACTCTGAACAGATAATTTGAATCTGTGAGTTGTTTACTAGAGATTCACTGTAAACAGATCATTTGAATCAGTGAGCTGTTTACTAGAGACTCACTCTGACTGTATTGGTGGTGTTTGCCAAAGCCTATTTATAATGTTTATCCCTGTATATAATGTAATAATATAGTGTGTCCCTGTAAAGTCTTCTGAATGTGTTGTTATTTGGTGGTGTGTGTGTGTGTGTGTGTGTGTGTGTGTGTGTGTGTGCTGTCTCCAGATCAGCTACAGCAGTGTGCACTCCTTCGACCCGTCCGTCCCGCTGCTGCGTCCCCCACTGCTGGTGTCTCTGCCCTGGAACACGTCCCGCTACAACTTCACTCTGCTCCACCCCGGCACCACATACCAGTTTCTGATCCGCGCCAGCACTAGCAAGGGCTTCGGCCCCCCCACCACACTCAACGTCACCACCAACATATCAGGTACATCACTGCAAAACTCGTCTCTAGTCTAAATGCAGCGGGGGAAATGAGTCTTGAACACGTCATGTTTTTGTCCTGGGAATAATATTTCGGAAGCAGCTGTTGACACGGAATCGAAGCATATTTTGGTAAAAACCCAAACAAAGAAAACAAATCTAAAATTGAGTTGTGTGTAAAAACAAACTGTGAGTTTCTCACAGACTTCAACGGAGTGTCAAAATTTGGATGTTTCTGTGGTTCTTATCTATCAAATCTGAGCTTTATTCTCTATTGGATTCGGGTCAGGGGATTGGCTGGGCCATTCTACAGCTTGATTTTCTTTCTCTGAAAGCATCTGAGAGTCTCCTCGGCTGTGTTTTGGATCATTTTCTTGCTGAATTGTCCACCCTGGCTTCATCTTCATCCTCCTGCTAATGTAGATGTTGGACTGAAGGCTTTGATCCTAATCTTAGTGACTGTCACTTTAAATGCAAATGAGATTGTGCTCTTTTTAAAAGAGGGCGGAGCTACAGATGCCTGTGCGTCAGCATGTTGGTGTCTGTGTGTAAGAATGAATCAGTCTATGGAGACTTCTGTCTCTGTTCATTTGTGCTTCATCTAAAACTCCATCTATATTCCTCTCAGTCTATGCTGACATTATCTTCAGCAGCGCAAACACTCTAATGGCTAATGCACAGACGGCTGCTTCTCACTCAGGGCTGCTGTTTATGCTAATGGGGAAAGATAGTCACTAGTGGGCGGGGCTTTCTTTCTCTGATCAAACAAAGGCTGTTATTTTTCCTAAGTGTGAACAGAATTCATTCATGTTTACCATTAGAGACCGGTTATATTGACACACAACTGTGTCTAAACCCCTCATCAACATGCTATTTGCATAATTGGTCACCTTTAATACTAATTAACCCCATTGATGTACATTTTCCACCGTGCAATCAGTTTGTATTGGAACATCCTGATTGCCGAAAGGCCGCTGGTAGTAATGATGTTTTCCGGGTGTTTTGTTGTTTATTTTGGTTTGTTTGTTTTAATTTGCCGCTGCTCTCGCGATGATGTTAAATTAGAGGCAGCACTGAGCGTAATCAGCTGGATTGGATGTAAAAGCTCTTTGATAAGCAGAGATGAGGAGCGTAACCTCGTCAGCTCGTCCCGCAGGCAGCGCTCTCGGATTAAACACAGCCACCATCAGCGCAAATATGATTTTCTAGCATTGGCAAATCCATCACTTCACATTTGCTGGAGTGTAGGTGGAGCCGGCAAACACCACAGAGGAAAACCTGCTTTTATCAGACACAGCACAAAGACAAATCGAGGAATACTTCATCGTGTGAAGTGAACCTGGAGAGATTTGTGTGTGTGTGTGTGTGTGTGTGTATGTGTGTGTGTGTGTGTGGGTGTGTGTGTGTGTGTGTGTGTGTGTGTGTGTGTGTGTGTGTGTGTGTGTGTGTGTGTGTGTGTGTGTGTGTGTGTGTGTGTGTGTGTGTGTGTGTGTGTGTGTGTGTGTTGGTGAATGAGTGTGTGGATGTTTCCCAGAGATGGGTTGCGGCTGGAAGGGCATCGGCTGCATAAAAACGTGCTGGATAAGTTGGCGGTTCATTCCGCTGTGGCGACCCCGGATTAATAAAGGGACTAAGCCGAAAAGAAAATGAATTAACGAATGATGGTAAAATGTTATAATGTAACTAAAGGGTTCCTTTTACCGATGTGTATTTATCAATACTTTTATACATGAATTTTACCCTGATTCACGGTTTTACAGGGTTATAATAAGCACAATGTCAAATAAAAACAATACAAAATGTTTTGCATATTAATTGATTAAAATACTCGCGTCCATCTGCCACAAAAATATTATAAACGTTCAGAAAATCACACAGTGTCTGCAGGAGCTGTTTTCGGAGGCAAGCAGACATCGCTGTGTATCACTGTGCACTGAAAGAAGTGTGGCATGCAGAACTGTTGCAAACAATTTAGTTGTGTTGAATTTAAACAAACAAATTAATCTTGGATAAGTCGGCGGTTCATTCCACTGTGGCGACCCTGGATTAATAAAGTGACAAAGCCGACAAGAAAATGAATGAATGAACTATAATAGAATAAAGTATATTCACCTTATTCTCCACATACGAGCGGGCGCAGCCATTCGAATCTTTTTGGTTTGAGACTTCCGGTCTCATTCACTTCCATTCACTTTTAGACATTAAAACAGCTTGTTTTGCTGCTTGATGTTCATTCATTCATTCATTTTCTTGTCGGCTTAGTCCCTTTATTAATCCGGGGTCGCCACAGCGGAATGAACCGCCAACTTATCCAGCACGTTTTTATGCAGCGGATGCAACCCATCTCTGAGAAACATCCACACACACATTCACACACACACACACTCATACACTACGAACAATTTAGCCTACCCAATTCACCTGTACCGCATGTCTTTGGACTGTGGGGGAAATCGGAGCACCTGGAGGAAACCCACGCGAGGGCAGGGAGAACATGCAAACTCCACACAGAAACGCCAAATGAGCCGAGGCTCGAACCAGCGTCCTTCTTGCTGTGAGGCGACAGCACTACCTACTGCGCCACTGCGTCACCCTGCTTAATGTTGCAAACTGATATTTTCTTATTATAATATTTTATTTTGTCTGTATAGTCATGCAAACATTTGTTTGTAGAGCGAGTAGTTTGACTGTTTTCTGCCGTTTATTATTCCTAGTCATTTCTCTCATAGGCGACTGAACTGGAAGTTCTAAAACAATCGCGAAAACGGGCGCACTTGCGCATTTTAGAATAAGGTCAATTAAAGTAACACGTTAAAGGTTGTAATTGCAGTTTTATTCGTGTTTCCAAAATGGAGATTGTTACATGATTGCCTATTGTGAACGATCTACATCTCATTGTGTTTTTTCATTATGGTGTGTGTGTGTGTTTGTGTGTGTGTGTGTGTGTGTGTGTGTGTGTGTGTGTGTGTGTGTGTGTGTGTGTGTGTGTGTGTGTGTGTGTGTGTGTGTGTGTGTGTGTGTGTGTGTGTGTGTGTGTGTGTGTGTGTGTGTGTTTGTGTTTAGCGCCAACGCTGGAGGAGTATGACGGCTCAGAGGCATCCCTGAACGAGACGGCCACCACCATCACTGTCCTGCTGAAGCCTGCGCAGGCCAAAGGAGCACCCATCAGGTGTGTGTGTGTGTGTCTCTAGGTGTGTGTATGTATGTTTGTGTATATACAGTTGAAGTTGAATTATTCGCCCTCGTATTTATTTTTTCCCAATTTCTTTTTAACGGAAAGCAGATTGCTTCAACACATTTCTAATCATAATAGTTTTAATAATTCATCTCTAATAACTGATTTATTTAATCTTTGTCATGATGACAGTAAATAATATTAGACTAGATATTCTTCAAGACACTTCTATACAGCTTAAAGTGACATTTAAAGGCTTAACTAGGTTAATTAGGTTAATTAGGCAGGTTAGGGTAAGTAGGAAAGTTATTGTATAATGATGGTTTTTTCTGTAGACTATCGGGAAAAATATAGCTTAAAGGAATTAATAATGTTGATCTTAAAATGGTGTTTAAAAAATTAAAAACTGCTTTTATTCTTGCCGAAATAAAACAAATAAGACTTTCTCCAGAAGAAAAAATATTATCAGACATACTGTGAACATTAACTTGCTCTTTTAAACATCATTTAGGAAATATTTTAGAAATAAATAATAAATAAATAAATAAAAAAATAAAACAATAAATAAATAAGGGGGGGCGAATAATTCTGACTTCAACTGTATGTATGTGTATATGTGTGTGTGTATACTGCATGTCTGTGTGTGTGTGTGTGTGTGTGTGTGTGTGTGTCTGCTTCATTAGTGTTTTCGGTGTGCTGTAATGAGCCTCTGCCGCTGCTGGAGTTACTGATTCTCTTCCTCCACATTCCTGCTCAAAGATCCCTGAATCCTCCTCTTCCTCTTCTCCTCTCCATCTGCATGCTTCAAGTTTCTGAGTTGGAAAACACTTTCAGTAATTCAGCCATCATTGTGACAGACTCATTCCTACACACACAGATGGAGGAGGAGGAAAACATACTTACCTCTGTGCTGGTTATTTACTGGAGCAGGAGAAATGCAGAAAAGTAGAAAAACAGAAGATGCGGATGTAAAGCACCGGGGCCTGTGCACCTCTATACTCTTATTATTATTGTTGGTTTATTTGACGCTTTCATATATGTGATACATCAGGCATTCATAGCTCAAATACAGCAACATTAACAGCCTTCCCTTTATGCTTTTCTAAATATTTCCTAAATGATGTTTAAAATTTCTTAGGAAGGCTAATAAATTTGACTTCAACTGTAGTAGTACTGATGTTTTTGAGGGAAGAAACAGCTCAGTTTTATTTTAAAAAGAGCAAACATGTGTTCGTTTGGTGTATGTGCCCTCATAGTATGTATGTTTGGTCTGGCATAATGATGTTGCTGAGATGTGAAAGCAGAGGGTGTTCAGCTGCTGGTAAACCTCTCGTGTTGTGCCTGTCCTCCACAGCGCCTATCAGATTGTGGTGAAGGAGATCAACCCTCATCGCGGGCGCCGTGAGGCCGGTGGAGGCGAGTGTTACCGGGAGCCGGTGTCCTATCAGAGCGCCGTCAGCTCTGGCCTGCCCTATTACTTTGCAGCAGAGATTCCTCCCAGAAATCTGCAGGAGCCGCTGCCGTTTACTGTGGGAGACAACAAGACCTACCACGGCTACTGGAACGCTCCTCTCGCACCCCGCAAAGACTACAACATCTACTTCCAGGCGGTCAGCCGAGTGGAGAAGGTCAGTGTGGAGATCAGTGCGTGTGCTGCCTCAGACCATCTTAACGGTGTACTGTACTTACCTTTGAAGTACAGTTTAAGCTATGATTGTTATACTAGTATCAAGGTCTAGTATCAAATTAAATGTTGGAGGATTCTGTTGTTTAAACTACCCATACTACTAAACCTGTCCCTAACCAACCTTTAAACCAACCCACACTGCTAAACCTGTATCTGACCAACCCTTAACTACCCATACCACTAAACCCGTTCTTAATTTCAACCACGCTTTAACCTTTCCAATACTACTAAACCTGTTACTAACCCACCTTTAAACCAACCCACACTACTAAACCTGTGTTTGACCAACCCTTAACTACCCAACACCACTAAACCTGTCCTTAACCTTAACCAGCGCTTAACCTTACCCATACTACTAAACCTGTCCCTAACCAACCTTTAAACCAACCCATACCACTAAACCTGTATTTGACCAACCATTCAACTACCCTTACCTCTAAACCTGTCTTTAACTTCAACCAGCCCTTAACCTTACCCATACTACTAAACCTTTCTTAAACCAACCTTTAAACCCACCCATACCACTGAATCTGTTTCTAACCAAACCTTAAACTACCCATACCTCTAAGCTCACCCTTAACCTAAACCAGCCCTTAACCTTACGTACACTACTAAACCTGTCCCTAACCAACTTTTAAACATACCAATGCCTCTAAACCTGTCCCTAACTAACCCTTAAACCTACTCATACCACTGAGCCAGTCTCTAACCATCCCTTAAAGTACCCATACCAATAAACCTGTCCTTAAACTCAACCAGTCTTTAACCTTACCCATACTACCAAACATGTCCCTAACCAACCTTTAAACTTACCTATACCACTAAACCAGTTTCTAGCCAACCCTTCAACTACCCAAACCTCTAAACCTGTTCTTAACCTCAACCAGCCCTTAACCTTATGCATACTGTTAAACCTGTTCCTAACCTACCTTTAAACCTACCCATAACTCTAAACCTGTCTCTAACCAACCCTAAAACTGTCCTTAACCATAACCTACCCTTAACCTTACCCATTCTACTAAACCTGTCCCTAACCAACATTTAAACCTACCCATACCTCTAAACCTGTCTCTAACAAACCCTTCAACTACCCATACTTCTAAACCTGTCCTTAACCTCAACCAGCCCTTAACCTTAAGCATACTGTTAAACCTGTTCCTAACCAACCTTTAAACCTACCCATACCTCTAAAGCTGTCTCTAACCAACCCTTTAACTATCCATACCTCCAAGTCTGCCCTTAACCTTAAACAACCCTTAACTTTACATACACTACTAAATCTGTTCCTAATCAACCTTTAAACCTACCTCTAAACCTGTCTCTAACCAACCTTTAAACCTCTCTAACCAACCTTTAAACCTGTCTCTAACCAACCTCTAAACCTGTCTCTAACCAACCTCTAAACCTGTCTCTAACCAACCTTTAAACCTCTCTAACCAACCTTTAAACCTGTCTCTAACCAACCTCTAAACCTGTCTCTAACCAACCTCTAAACCTGTCTCTAACCAACCTCTAAACCTGTCTCTATACAACCCTTAAACTACCCATACCTCTAAACCTGTCCTTAACCTTAATCATCCCTTAACATTACATATACTCCTTAATCTGTCTCTAACCAACCTTTAAACCTACCCAAAACACTAAACCTGTCTCTAACATCCCTTAAACTACTGCTTCCTCTAAACCCGCCCTTAACCTCAACCAGCCCTTAACCTTATGCATACTGTTAAACCTGTTTCTAACCAACCTTTAAACCTACCCATACCTCTAAACCTGTCTCTAACATCCCTTAAACTACTGCTTCCTCTAAATCTGTCCTTGACCTCAACCAGCCCTTAATCCTACCCATACTGCTAAACCTGTTCCTAGCAACCTCTAAACCTACCCATACCTCTAAACCTGTCTCTAACAAACCCTTAAACTACCCATACCACTAAACCTCTCCTTAACCAACCTTTAACTCTTAAAGTGTGTAAAGGTTATGCTCTGCTGATCAGTGAGTTGCTAAAATTAACTACAGCTTATTGTTGTTGTTTTTTCTCCTCCAGGAGAGTAAAACGCAGTGTCTGAAACTGGCCTTTAAAGGTAGGAGCATCATCTGCCTCTCTCTCTCTCTCTCTCTCTCTCTCTCTCTCTCTCTCTCTCTGTGATGATGTAAGAGTGTGTTCATTTCTGTCATGTCTGTGATTCGGTGTTTTATGAGCTCTCAGCAGAGTTATAACAATACATTAGTGTACGCAGCAGAAGTGTGTTTGAGAATGTGCACAGAGGCAAAGCTTGACCAGCCCATTAGAACTGACCCGTTACCATAAACACTACGGCCTATGCATTTTCATATATGGATATAATCGAACCGGTTGTCCCACCCTCCCATCTCACCCGACAGCCCTCACTCACATTACAATCGCACCTGGGCACGCTTACGTCATCGATGCTGCTCTGTTCAGTAAGCGCTCTCGCTCAGCACAGTGGAGATTTCTCTAGTTATATTGTTTCAGTGGTTTGATATGCAGAGACATGCAGTCATATATTTTGCCAAACAGTCCTTAGAAATGCGGTGACACGCAGTCAGATATTTCGCCGAACAGATCCGCCACTTTTGACGCTCGTAAACAATCATAAAGCCCTCGTGCTGCAGGAATGAGGAGGTCTGCTGAAGGTGCAGCTGTCGTGCAGTGAGGGGTTTGCGTCTTTAATAATCGACGGCAGTTTGCGTTCATTGAACAGTAAGAATGATTAATAAATCTATAAGAAACAGTCACTTAAAAGTCACGTCTCACTTTTAACTTCGGGCTTAGGGACGTTTTGCACTCACACTACTAATGTCTACAAAAAGCCCAAGTGAACCGCGCTCAGGTCCACCTTTTCCAACCGGGCCAGGACCGGCCAAGTGAGTTGTTCCTGAGCCAAATTCAGCGCACTCACACTTCTCAAACTATCCGGGAAACGATTCGGATAGTATCAACCCAAGCTCATTCTGAAAACGTAGTTCCGCGGACGTTTCTGGAGACAGCGGAATACGTCCCGGGGGGTACGTACGGCTGCATTTATTTCTTTCAAGCGAACGCTGCTGGGCGGTGTGACGCTGTTGCCTTTCGCGCTTGCCGGCCGGCTGACCGCTTACCTCCTTGTGGAGGGCTTCCCTGCTGCAACCCGTTTGTCCACTCAGCTCACCGTGTACATCGGCAGGTTCGAGATGCAGAGAGGAGTTGACCACGGCAATCAGTTTCGAGTCCGGGGAAGAGCGGTTCCAGCAATCAGGCAAGACAAAAACAGAATCCCGAAAATTAAGTGAAAGAGTTTCGTAACAGGGTGAGAACGTGGTGAAATCTGAAAACGAGGTAAAAAAAATCAGGGCTTTTCTTTTTTTGGACGGCTTTTGTAAACTGTTGCTCGGGTTTAGGGAAGCGAGCGGGCGGGTGGGTTAATCTGTAAAATTGGTTGGGTTCAGGGAAGGAAGAGGGCGGGTCAGCCGATTTGCCAGTCGCACAGTCAATCATCCGGTCAGTCGGACAGCGGCCTCTGGTGGGTTCAGGCGAGAACAGCGCGGGCGCGAACTGCACTTGCGAGAGGCGTTTGAGATGTGAAAAAGCGCACAACAGCGGCCTCTCGTGGATTCGCAAAAACAAAAACTGCAGCCGTATGTACCCGCCAGGACGTATTCCGCGGTCTCCAGAAACGTCAGCAGGACTACGTTTCCACAATGAGCCTGGGTTGGATAGTATAGTGTGAGTACGCCCTTAGTTAAAAATTACAACACTGCTGGGTTGAACGTAACCCAAAAAAAACCTAAATTGAATCTAGAAACTGGTGATTAAAATCACTAAAATAAAAACAATCCTACAGCAATACATCATTCATTAATGCAATTTCATTTATGACTAAAGATAAAAAATGTTTCCGGATGAATTTGAGACATTTTTCCCATCTGCACCTCAGCGTTAATGTCAACGACTCGGTCCCAGTCATTCCCCTCTCTGGCCAGCAGAGGTCATCATCACCGGACTTCTAGACATTACGTCATCCACTTAAACTGATAAGCACACACACCTGTTCCTCATTCCGCTAACGACCCACACTCACCTATATAAGCCACACTCTCACTCCAGTTCAGTCAAAGTCTTGTTTTGCCCCGGCTAACACTACTACACATCTCGACTCTGTCTAGCCTGCCGCCTGCCCTGAACTCTTGACTGACTGCTCTACCAAATACTCGACCATGTTTTAACTGTTTTAAATAATGACTGTTAATAAAAATAAATAGTTCAATGAATAATTAGGGGGAGGTCACATGTTAACCGTTATAATGAAGTTTTAATATAGGATAGCAAAGGTTGCCAGACCCTGTATTTATGTTTAACTTTTAATAGTTAATTCAAATGAAGTGAGATTTTCCCTCAGGTCGGAGCTCTTGCTTTCGCTCAGGCCAGTGAGGCTTTTAATGAAGCAAAGTGTGATTTACTCTACAGTTTCTCAGCCATGGAATTGTGCATGAGTTATGATTATATAATATCTGTCCTGATGTAGTACTAATGATAATGATGTTTGGTAAAGGGATGATAGAGAGGGGGCTGGCGGTAATAACGCTCACTCTGATTACACTTAAAACAAAGCATCCCCACTCACAATACAGTAATAAATACAGCTAATAACATAAAGAAAGAATAATCCGTCCCTAATGTAACACAAGCCTTAAAGTGCTTTACATTTAATCTGATCGTGTGATTGGATAGCGCTTAGTGTTTTAGTCTTCTCCTCAAAGGTTAATTTTAGTACATGTACTTATTTAATTGAGTTTGTGCTAACCTATGTTCCTGAGCAATCTTTGTATCATTCAGCAGTCTTCCTCAACACACTATTGGTTATATTTTTGTATAATCATTATGGTTTGGTTTGCTGAAACATGATGTGAGACGGTGTGTTTGACTAACATTTTCTATGGATTGTTTGAGCCATGGAGGTGTTTGTATATATCAGAAGAGTCAGTTCGTGGTTAGACCGTAATCATAAATCCGTGTAGTTCTGCCCGCATTTTTGTCCCGCCAGCGATACACTGGTGTGTTTATATTGCGTGTGTGTGTGTGTGCTGTTGTGGTAATGACAGAACAGAAAGCACCTTCGGTCGTGTCTCGTCTGAGTTATTGCATATTATTTCCCCCTCTGGCTCTTCATTAATTGTTTTTCAGCAGGAAATCGAATGATAAAAGTCTGCCCGAGGCTCAGAGCGGTCCCAGAACGGATTAGATGTAGCCCACGTCATGTGTTGTTTAGCAACAAAAATACATTTTTGTTTTTGAGCGTGGAATTTTATCTCCAAAATGGACGTAATCCAATTTCCATTGAATGGCTCCCAGTGTTTCTCGCTCAGATCAGCCTCATAAGAGCTGACAGAAACACAAGTGTTCTGGCAGGGGCGAAATTTGGTGTCTGAACCAATACAGGCCTGCATCTAAAACCACACAGCGGCGCGATTAAGCACCTTTCACCCGGGTGTCAAAGCTGATTGCGGGACGTCCTGCTGGAGGCTTCAGCTGCAACTTTCTGAAGCACAGCAGCTACATGGACTGCTTTCATTCAGATTACTCTTCATTGCTTTCAACCAACAACTCAAAATGTGTTTATTTAATCTGATCAAGGGTGCGTTTCCCAAACAACAACATAACTTGTGGCTGAACTACATATGATGCATCGTTTGGGAAAAGAACGATGTAGTGACGAGTGTTTCCCAAAATCCATAGTTTCTCTGTCGCAGATCCATCGCTTAAACACTGTTAGTCATAGCGTAAGACACCCATAATGATGCTCTAAACGGGGTGGAGGAACAACTTCATTTCTTTGTGCAAATTATATTGTTTTACATGCATTTAAAATAAAATCCAATATTATTTTTGGTAAAAACCATGCACTCGCTTTCCATATTAATTGAAATATAGGTAAGCGGCACATTTAGAGCCTGTGTTTTCTTCACAAATATTATTGAGAAGTTGAACATTGCATACTCTATTCTAAAACATAACATCACTTACAAAAGCTGACACCTATTCTAATCTCATTTATAAATCATATAAATAATGAGGCTATTATAAAATGAAATTTAATATTTATTATTTATTAAGAAATTTTAAATATCATACTTTAATAAGGATATTAATAATATTAATGATGTTTATTATTATTACTGTTATTATTATCATTGTTATTATTATTATTATTATTAGTAGTAGTAGTAGTAGTAGTAGTAGTAGTATTGTTATTATTATTATCGTTGTTATTATTATTATTATTATTATTATTATTGTTATTATTATTATTATCGTTGTTATTATTATTATTATTGTTGTTGTTCTTGTTATTATTATTATTATTATCGTTTTTATTGTTATTATTATTGTTGTTGTTGCTATTATTATTATTATTATTATCATTGTTATTATTGTTATTATTATTACTATTATTATTACTATTATCGTTGTTATTATTATTATTATTGTTATTATTATTTTATTATTATTATTATTGTTGTTGTTATTATTATTATTATTATTGTGTATTATTATTGTTGTTTTTGTTGTTGTTGTTGTTTATTAGGAATTTTTAGGAATTTAAAATATATGGACGTAGTATCCTTGATGTCACCTATAGGTTTCTGGAGAGCACAAAAGAAGCCACAAGTAGGCGCGGCCAACCGTCGCAATTTGTTCACGCGTCATCACGCCCATGATGGGATACCAAACAAGGGCAAAGAGGCGGAGAATTAGCGGAGCTACAGACACCTGCTGACATTTTGCTTGGACCTGGCTTAGACACACTTTACTTTGGGAAAACACTTAATACTTTATCACCTGCGACTCGTTTGTGTTCTGACCACTTGTGCTTGGCTGTACACTATATCAATAAGGTGTTTAGACTTTTTAAAACACTGCTGTAATACATTGAGCCACTAAACATTGTTCTTATGACATTTTTCAACAGGAGGAAAATGCAATTTACTTCCAAACACTTCAGATATAGTCTGTGTTAGTTAATGTAAGACTATTGATTATATCCAGCATAACACTGTATGACAACACTTGATGACTGTTCTA